TCCTGGAATTCTCAACAAGTGCTACACGGGTGGATGAGCTCAGGGTGATAATGGAAATGAAAATTATCAAGAGTTCTGCTGCGGTGTAGACACTGCTACAAGCTCCCAAGTGTCTGGGGGGCAAACCACGAGTCTCGGAAAATCTTCTGTTGACATTTGGGTAGCTACAGATACCCATTCCTGACGTCTCCCCTGCCTTCTTTGGCCTCTCCTGGGAAGGATGCACCCCAGTCAGTTGCATTTCAGCTGATTCTCCTAGAGAATGCCAACCCCAATCAGCTGAAATGCAGCTGCCTTGTCTACATATCCTGAATGTCCCCTCTCCCACCACCCCTCAGGTGCTAGGACCCTAGACACTTACTTTACAACATGATCCACCTGACGTCTGGGCCTCCTAAATGTCCTCCCTTTCAGCTGGACCCCAAAGTCCTTGGCCTGTGCCCCAGCACTGGCTTGTGGTAACAGTTCATCCCTACAGGGATGCTTCTGCACGATGAAGAAAGGTAGAACATGAAGCCCAGTCAGGGTTTCAAATGTGATTTGCCAGGGTTTTATGAAACTGGATCTAGGTGGCACTCACTCCTCACCGGGCACAGGGAGGAAGAAAGTGGAAACAGCTTCCCAGGCTCCCGTGGCTAGAGCTAGGCCACACGGTTTGCATTGTCTTGCAGCGGTTTGGGGCTGGGTTCCTATGCTACCCCTAGGACATCTTGATATATTTGCCTCACCTGGCCTCTAATCTTGCCTCCATGCCAATCCTTTTACAGGCTGAGAGCCTCATAAAATGCACATCTGATTATGCCATCGGCCTGCTTGGTTCCATTGCTCTCAGGATACAGTTCAAACTTCCTAGTATAACAAACAAGTCTGTTCATGATCTGGGCCCCACAGGCCTGTCTGCCCTTCCCTCCCTTCCCCGCCACCTTCCCCTAGGTTCGTGCTGTATCAGACTGCTCAGGGCTCCTCCGACCCACTGGGCTGTGGAACTCCACCTGCTCTTCCTGATGCCAGGAGCTCCTTTTCTGGATTCCCCTCTTGCCGACTCCTCCTAGGGCTTGCCTAGCTTTCCCTGACCCACAGGCTAGTCACAGTGCTCATCCCTGAGCCTCAGAAATCCCTGCAGAATTTCTGCAGCCATGCTCCCAGTGTGTGCTTCCTGTTTCCCGGTCTCACACCTCCATGGACTTGCAGCGCCTTGGCCATTGCCACCCCCCCCCCACCCCTTGCCTGGTGCATGTTTTGTCTCTGGCATCAAATAATACTATTAAAAATTGCAAAAAAAAATCACCCTGCTAATGTCATTATGCTTTCTTCTCTCCTCCCTACCACCTACCCCAAACCTTGCTCTTTTCCCCATTCATCTTTGTGTACATAATCAGGAAGATGGCCCTCGGGGTTGCTGTTCACTCATTTCTTCACTCGCCCATCAAACGTTTATAGCACCCCCACACTGCGACAGCCACCGTACTCAGTGGTGGGGGCGTGTAGGAAATACCCTGACTGGATGGCAGCCTTCATGGAACTTACATTCTAGAGGAGGGAAAAAGACAGCAAACAACTCAGGCACCAAACCAGGAGCTGGTAAAGTCGACGTCAAGTGCTGGGTGCGAAAAGGAAAAGGAAAAGAGGGTCAGGCGGAGAGGAGCGCTGGGGTGGGTGAGCTGCTATTTTATCCGGGGTAATTTGGGGAAGTGACTCGGATAAGATGCCATCAGAACAGAGATCTGAAGGAAGGGAAAAGGCTGCGGGTATTTGCAGAAGAGCATTTAGGCAGAGGGAACAGCAGGTGCGAAGGTTCTATGTGAGTTACGGTTACTGTCACGACAAACACATCTCCAAACTTCACAGTAAGGACACCGCACACTAAATGTTTATTTCTTGTTCATGCTCCAGTTCCACATGATATCCCTGGTGATGGACAGTAGTCTTCATCTGGGTCCAGACAGTCAAACAACTTCCATCTCGTGGCTTTCCCATTTCCAAGGGTCCCTAACTCCTCCCCAGTAAGTGGGCAGATGGGGAGTAGAGAAGGCACAGATGGTTCTTAAGACAACCCCTCCCCTCACCCCCAGGAGAAGTGACAAGCACCACCTCACATTATGTTCTGCTGGGGAGAACCAGTCCTCAGCCACACCTGAATGCTGAGGCATCTCACTGGGCAGCTGCCTCCAGCAGCAAGGGCATTTCTGGTGGTGAGCGGGCCACCTCTGCCTCTGAGTGGAGACCATGCCTGCCAGTTTGAGGCTCAGTGAGAAGGGTATGATGGCCAGGGAAGCTGATACAGGCCCACAGGCCACTTGAAGGCTTTTGGATTATTTTTCTTTTTTGAGATGGAGTCTCATTCTGTTGCACGACTTAGAATGTAGTGACATGATCTCGGCTCACTGCAACCTCCAGCTCCCAGGTTCAAGTGATTTCTCCTGTTTCACCTGCCAGAGTAGCTGGGATTACAGGCACACACCACCACATCCAGCTGTTTTTTTTTTTTTTTTTTTTTGTATTTTTAGTAGAGACAGGGTTTCACCATGCTGGCCAGGCTGACCTCAAACTCCTGCTCTCAGGTGATCCACCTTCCTTGGTCTCCCAAAGTACTGGGATTACAGGCATGAGCCATAGTGCCTTTGGATTTTACTCTCTATGAAATGGGAGGCACTTGCAGGGCTTTGAGTAAGGCAGTGACATGAAATGGCTTATGTTTCAAAGGCGTGCACTCTGACTATGGTGAGGAGAACAGGCTGCAGGAGGCCAGGAGGTAGACAGGTATGGAGAAAGAAGGCAGAGCTGTCATATAGGGGAGAGATGGCCATCTGGACCAGGTGAAAGGAAAACGTCAGTGCCAGCCCTTCTCTGGAGACACACAGAGATAGGGCTGAGACCCCTAATTGAATCCAACTCCTACCTTCTAAGCCAGGAGCCAATAAGCTTTGTCTGAAAAGGGTCATCTAGTGAGTACTTTAGGGTTCGCAGGCCACAGAGTGTCTGCTGCAACTACTCACTTCTACTGTTGTCCCACGAAAGCAGCCATAAAAGATGAGCGTGACTCTGTCAATGAATGAGCATGACTGTGTTCCAATAAAACTTTATTAACAAAAGCAGGTGATCAACTACAAAGTTTCCTGATTCCTGTCAAACCAATCACAAAGGGTGCTGGTCTTCTCTCATCACACTTTTCTAGTCAAGGCATCCGTGGTGGCTGCAGAAAACGGCTGAGAACTCTGCACTTTGTCACTGCTTGGAGTTTGTGCGTCAGCCACTCCAGGTGAACTGCATTTCTTGTAGTAACACTTGCGGCATAAGAATGAATCACAGCTTCCCACTGTCTTTGAGCAAGTTGTCTCTTGACAAGGGAAATGGCTTTTGGCAAGACCTTTTCGTTATAGTTCAGGCTCATCAGCTATTCGTCTATAACTAAATTCCTTTATTATGTGTAATTAAGGCAGCAGCTGAGAAAAGATGCAAATGTGTTCTGGAAAACCTGACTCTGCAACAGCTGGGAGCTTTGCAACCTTTTAAAGTGCAGGTTGAAACTAAAACACATTTGGCATGTGCTGAAGTGGGGAAAGGAGATAAAAGCTAAAGAAAGGATAAGAAGGTTTCATGTTCAGGAATTCATGCCACTCCAGTGCTCACCCTGTGAGCTGAGCTGACGCATCCTCTCCACCAAGCCTGCCCTGCCCTCCACAATGACCCCCTGCCCCAGAGTGAAAGGTATCGTTGTAGCAGAAATATCACAAGCGGCCACTTTCAACTATGGTTGGCATTAGAAATTCTTCCAACCCTTTGTATGGCTGGGCTGTATAATACATCAAGATAAGACAACTGGAAAACAGGAAAACAGGCTAGAGCAAGAAAAAAGTATCTCCCCACCCTGTTTATGATGATGAAGTAAAGTCAGTGAAGAGCCGTTCCTCTGGCACAGCATTGTCCAATGGAACTTTCTGTGATATTGAAAATGTTCCGTAGCTTTGCTGCCCAAGATGGTAACCGCTATCGGCACGGGGCTACTGAGCACTCGAAATGTGAGCAGCATGGCTGAAAAGCTGAATTTTGAATGTGACTTGGCTTTAACTCATTTAAATCTAAGCGTATGTAGCTATGTGTGGCTGGTGACACTGCAGGGGACAGCACGGTTGCAGTGTGTTGATTAAGATCCTGGGCTCAGAAGTCAGATAAACACAGGCTTGCATCCTAGTCCCCACCCACTACTGTGATCAGGCATGTTACTGCCACTTTTTCTTGGCTCCCTTATTTTCAGGATGGGCACCGTTGTGCCTGCCTCATGCAGCAGCTGTGAGGATGAGGTAAGGGGGTGGAGATAAAGCACTTCACATAGTGCCCGGCGGAAGGTTAATGCTCAATAAATGTTCAGTGTTTGGTTATTTCCCAGGAAGCTCCTCAAAAAGGCTCATACCACTCTCCAGACATTGCAGAAAGGTGGTCCTAAGGCCTCGGTGCTGGCGTCGTCCATGGAAGCTTCCCTCGTTCTGAGTGACATCTGTGAAGTGGACTCAGCGGGGAGACAAAGTTGGAGCAGGGGGAGAGTCAAAAGCTACTAAACCAAACTTCTCACTACCTCTGAGGCTTCTCTGGGGAAGCCAAGACTGCTAGTGGCTCACCCCACATTTGAGTGACCGTGGGCCCTAATAAAAGACCACAACTCCCAGGCTACCTTACAGTTACAGTTAGGACTTTCAAGAAGTCTTAAGTGGGGTCAGAGAGTTTATATGTTCTCTCTTGCCTTTTGTCTTTTCACCTTTCCTCCTGCTTCCTATCTGGAATTCAGAAACAGTGGCTGGAGCTCCAGCAGCCTTAAGGAGGTGTCCTTGAGGAGGGGAGCCCTGTACTACTAATGATGGCAGAGCAAAAATAAAAGAAGCCTGGGCTCGTGGACACTATGAAATCACCATGCCAACCTGGGACTGCCCGCCTTCAGATTGCTTTTATGTAGAAGAAACCACTTGTCTGTTTCGTGCTGCTATCACAGAATACCTGAGACTAGGTAATGTATAAACAGATTTATTTCTCACAGCTCTGAAACCTGGGAAGTACAAGGTACAGGGACCTGCTCCTGGCGAGGGGCTTCTTGTCGTGACATCCCACAGCGGACGGTACAAGGGCAAGAGAGCATGAACACAAGAGACACCAGCAAGCAGTCCAAACTTATCCTTTTATGCAGGAACGCACTCCTTCGACAAAAGCAATCATCTATGCATGAGAGCAGAGGCTCGTAAAGGTCCCACCTCCCAATAATTTGGTCTGGGAATTAAGTTTCTAACGCATGAACTTTGAGAGACACATTCACACTATAGCACCTCCGTACCAAGTTTAAGGCATTATTACTTTTGTTTTCTCTTACGTGTAGCAGCTATATGCTAGTTATTTCTAAGCAGTGGTTAATTCCACAAGTCCAGGTTATTATTATTTTTTTAATTTTTTATTGCATTTTAGGTTTTGGGGTATATGAGCAGAACATGCAAGACAGTTGCATAGGTACACACATGGCAGTGTGTTTTGCTTCCTTTCTCCCCTTCACCCACATTTGGCATTTCTCCCCAGGCTATCCCTCCCCACCTCCCCCTCCCACTGGCCCTCCCCTTTTCCCTCCAATAGACCCCAGTGTTTAGTACTCCCCTCCCTGTGTCCATGTGTTCTCATTTTTCATCACCCACCTATGAGTGAGAATATGCGGTGTTTCATTTTCTGTTCTTGTGTCAGTTTGCTGAGAATGATGTTCTCCAGATTCATCCACGTCCCTACAAACGACACAAACTCATCATTTCTGATTGCTGCATAATATTCCATGGTGTATATGTGCCACATTTTTCCAATCCAGTCTATCATCAATGGGCATTTGGGTTGATTCCAGGTCTTTGCAATTGTAAACAGTGCTGCAATGAACATTCGTGTACATGTGTCCTTATAGTAGAACGATTTATAGTCCTTTGGATATATACCCAGTAATAGGATTGCTGGGTCAAATGGAATTTCTATTTCTAAGGCCTTGAGGAATCGCCACACTGTCTTCCACAATGGTTGAACTAATTTACACTCCCACCAACAGTGTAAAAGTGTTCCTTTTTCTCCACATCCTCTCCAGCATCTGTTGTCTCCAGATTTTTTAATGATCGCCATTCTAACCGGCGTGAGATGGTATCTCAATGTGGTTTTGATTTGCATCTCTCTGATGACCAGTGACGATGAGCATTTTTTCATATGATTATTATGTCATATATTCAACGAAAGAAAGGGCTTGAGAAAATCAGTCCAGTCTTTATTCCTTCATCCCGCCTGCAGGGGGCGTCTAAGTTTGTGAACAGCATTAGAGGTCACCTGTTCTAGTCAATCTTTTCTTTTTTTAAAATCATTAAACCTGTTCATTATTTTTTCCTTCCATTGATCTCACGTTTCAAAATATGTTTTTCCACCATCAGTTAAGTTCTAACGGTTTTTCGGTCATGAAAAACATTTAACAAGCTGGGTGTGGTGGTGCATGTCTAGAGTCCTAGTTACACATGTTCATTGTTTATTTTCCTTCCATTAATCTCATGTTGCCAAATACATTTTTCCACCATCAGTTAATTCTATTGGTTTTTTGGCCATGAAAAACATTTAGCAAGCTTGGCGTGGTGGTGCTTGCCTATAGTCCTAGTCCCTTGGGAGACCTAGGAGGATCCCTTGAACTCAGGAGTCTGAGGCTGCAGTGAGCTATGATTGCACTAGGCAATAGAGTGAGACTCAAAAAAATGAGTCAATAAAATAAACAAAAAATAAACATTTAGCAACCATAGCAGATTTCGTTTTGTTTTGTGGGCTGTCCAGCAGCTGATCTCCTTCTTATATTTGGGGACTTTTCCTGATAAAATAGAACCCTGATGGCCTGATACTTGCTGTCCCTGTCCTTCAGCAGCTGGACAAGGGCACACAAGGCTTAAGATTTGCCAACTGGATGGTCTTACCTGGGACTTTGCAAGAGGCACAAAGCAGTAACCATGGTTGGGAGGAAGTGGCATCCCGTGTCCTGGTGGGTCCAGTGGGTCAGTGTCTGGTGTCCAGTGGCATCCCAACCACGCCACTTCCGTGTCGTGACCTTGGCTGAGGTCTTCATCGCTCAGCTTTTCCTGGCTACGGCCCATGTCCAGAGCCTGGTCCTCCTGCCTTTTCCCAAAGCAATTATTTTCTGTTTAAGTCAACTAGGCTTGGTTTCTCTTGCATGCAGGCAAGAATCTTGACTGATACACATGCTAAGTCTACAATACCCACAGAGTTGACATCATTCCATCAGAGCAAGAGGCAGTGTTCACATCAGCCAACATAGCCTTAACTGGTAACACACACACACTTTCTTTTGGGTTTTTAAAAACATTGCTCCAGCGCTATCACCGTAGACTCCTAAGGAGAAGGAACCCCGGCCTCCTGGAAACCATTGATACCATTGTATATCCTAATGTTACAGATGAAAAAAAGGAATCTCAGAGAGTTGAACTGAATTGCTCCATGTGTCAGGCTGTAGAAGGAACTTCTCAGTGAGGGTCGTTAGCCATTCATTCATTCACTATCCTTGGCCTGTGGACATGATCTCTCAAGGAACTCAAAGTCAGGTAGGAGACATGGGTGATTCCTGGGGAAACCAAAAACGCTCAAATAACATGGATATGGGCAGCTCAGGATATTCAGAAAGAGACATTTAAATGACAGTGAAAACAGAAGAAATGTGACTTAAGCTTGAATACCTCAAGCATGGTGGTAAAAGCAGAGACACGGCAAGACGGCCACCAGCACTGCAGATGTTCCCCTCTGCAGATGAGAAAGTCAGCCCAGACAAGATGAATCCAAGAAGGTAGGAAGCTACCGCAGCCAGACAGTAAAGTCAACATATGCTTCCATTCTTCTTTCAGAACTGGTGATACAAAAACATCTAAACCTGCAAGACAGACTTTTGAGAATATTATTGTCTTTAGAAAACGATTCTTCACTTTAAAGACAAGAAGACCTCTATTTTCCAGGTTGCAGTAGTTTTTTCTTAGCTTATTTATTGTCTAGGAAAGCATATTGAGAGCAGGCATTTTCATCCCCATTTCATGGATTAGAGACTAGGACTCACGTAGATAGTCACCACTAAAGGTCACACAGCGTGTAAGAAGAACACCCGAAGGCCCTCGGTTTCCCATTCTGCCAAGCCGCCTCTCACAGAGTGACTTTACATAACGAACATTTGAAATGCATTTGGAAGGCACTTCTAATTGAAGAGACTCAATTCACAAAGATTAGATTTGCACACAATTTTGAGAACACATCCACCGCACAAAGCATTATGCAACAATATAAGGATAAATGCCATGGATCGCATGCAAAAAAGAGGAAAATAATAGAGGAAGCTCGGTTAATTAATGCACTAGGAGCTGAAACACTACAGGAGCAGATGAACATGCACTCCCAGAATATGATACAATAAGCGGCTTCATTAGGAAGACAATTTATGTGGTAGGAAAGATAATAGCAAGAGAAAGAGGAAAATGTAAAAACAAATTAGTCTACTAGAAAGCACTGATTTGAAGATATTTTATAATGATTGATTTGTAAGAAATCTCTCTGCCATAAACATCAGTGGAACCCTTGCTTTTAGAGATCTTATAAAATAGGTCAGTATCTCTGGGTTAGACGGGTTTAGGTGTGATTTTCCTCTGCAAGTGAACGAACCAGCTGGATATTTTCAAAGGCTCCCTTTAGTTTATGGTTCTAAGGTTCCACTTAGGGGAGCTTTCTATGTCTGTCATTTTTAAAAGCTGGTTAACTCAGTGGCTTTATTTTTCTTCCCCTCTAAATTCCCCACGGGGCTTTAACTAAATCCGACCACATTTGGAGTTTTGTGTTGTTTTCTGGGCACCGCGTTTTAAAAGGGACGTTGACCTACTCTGCTTCCAGAGAATGGAATCAAGACAAATGAGTGCAAGTTGCTCAGAGATAAATTTCAGCTCAGTTCCAGAAAACCCTGTCTCCTTCTGCAGAGTCCTCTGACAATGGAACCAGCTGCTTTTCGAGCCCGTTTGCTCCTAGAGATTGGAAACACTGAAAGCAGAGGGTATTTAAAAGACTGTCAAAACTGCTCTAGAAAAAAAATTTTTTATTAAGTTTCCTTCCAATGTTAACACTTTATGATTGACTGATCATGTAACTCTTCGATACGTTTTGGCCAAGTCGAAGCTCCTTTTCTTTCTTTTATCTTAATTATTAGCCTCTCCCCCTCCCCACTTCTATTCCTAAGTTAGCAAACACGATACAGAATGACAAAAGTTAAAACACCAAGGCCACATTGTCTGACAGTGCCATGTCCCTCCACTGGGGGAGCTGGACAGGACATGGCCTGTTGATTTTCAAAGGAGAGGGTCTGGGGGTCAGTCAGGGTGACGGTGGCAGCACTGGCACCTCCAGTGGTCCTTGGGCAGGTCTATGTGCAAGAATGAGGTGAGCTGGGGGTTGGGTAAGGCTTTCCATGGGTCGTCTTCTGGGGATTTCCATCTTGGTTAGTGCCTTCCCACCCAGGTACATGATCCCAAATCCCAAGGTGTCCCTTTTGATACCTTCCTCTCTATGCCTGGATGCCATACCATCCTATCCAACCCATTACCACATCCCGCCCACTTTTTTCCCCTATCTTCATTTCTCTGCACTAATGCAAGCCCCAGGCTCATCTGTCACCTGGACCTGTATTTGTGTTATGTGGCGTCAGATGGCCCACTCCAATTCATATACACACAGAAGCCTGAGTGATTTTTTAAAAATTTGAACTGGCTGGGCATGGTGGCTCACACCTGGAATCCCAGCACTTTGAAAGGCCAAGGCAGGTGGATCACAAGGTCAGGAGATCAAGGCCATCCTGGCCAATATGGTGAAACTCTGTCTCTACTAAAAATACAAAAACTAGCTGGGCATGGTGGCACGAGACTGTAGTCCCAGCTACTAGGGAGGCTGAGGCAGGAGGATCGCTTGACCCTGGGAGGTGGAGGTAGAAGTGAGCTGAGATTGTGCCACTGCACTCCAACCTGGTGGAAGAGCAAGACTCCGTCTCAAAAAAAAAAAAAGGAAAAAGAAAAAGAAAATGAAATTCGAACCTACCCTGTCACCTGCTGCTTACACCTCGCAGCAGCTTCCCGTTGCTGATGGGATAGAGCACAGGACCAGGCCTCGCTCCTCAGCCCGCCTTCCCCGAGCCTGCATACTTCCCCAGCTCCCCTCTGTGATCAGTTGCTGCCAGAAAGGCCACGATGCTTTGGGTAACCATTGTCCTCACATTTCAGTTTTCCTTTTGTAATGCAATTAAGGGAGGTGAGAGTGGCCTCACCCTTGAGTTTAGCTAAAAGTTGAACCTATTCCTAAAACTCTCTCTAGCAAGAAAGATCTGAATTATAAGGGAATATTAGGCATCCGGAGGGTTTAGCTGGAAAGATTTAGAAAGAAGAAGGAATGACTTGTAAGCTGCATACTACAGGCTGTTGGTGCCTCTTGGCCTCTGCACATGGGCTTCCTGCTGTCTAAAGAGTGCTCCTTCGCCAGTTGTCAAAATTCTAGTCATCCTGCAGGAGCAAGTACAAGAACCCCTTAGAAGCCTTCTTCCCTGGCTTACCGGAGCAGCGTTGCTAACTCCGCCTCTGAGCCAGCAGGCACCTTGTCCATATGTCCACCATCACTGCGTGCACCACACCATATTGCAAAGATGTGAGTGTGTGGCTGTCTCCTTCCTGGGTTGTGAGTTCATGAAGAGCAGCACGTGTGTCTCACATCTGTAGCCCCAGTGCCTGTTGTAGAACAGGGCTGTATGAGGAAGGACTTTTGGTTGCACGTTACAGAAATCAGCGCAATCTCTCCCCTCAAGCAAAAAAAGGACAAGCCATTTTTGTTCCCTCAGCATGCTCTGTACTTCCTTCCATTTCTCATGAAGCATGACAATCTTGTCGGTGTGCTTTTCATAGGGAAGAACTCAACAGATGTGCACACAGGGTGGTGAGCATTGGAGGAGGAAGGAGAGAGAAGGAATGGGAAGGGAGGGGAGATGTGGAAGCCCAGCGGAACCTGCCTCTCTGTTTATCCTGGGGTTATCACGATGGCTCCAAGGTCACCATTCTCTGAAGTCTCTGGCCTGGCTTTCCTTCCCATTCTCCCCTTCTCACTCACTGTCTTTCCCCAGAAAGTGGGGGAAGTTCTGTCAGTTAGTTGGGCTCAGAATCTCAGGCATCCTGCTCACCGGGTGCCAATGCAGGGCTGGGCTGTTCCCTGAGCCCATGGCGGTTACGCCTCAGGAAGGTCCCTGCAGAGTTTGAGGACCACAGGGCGCAGAGTTTGAGGACCACAGGGCGCAGACAGCTCCTCCCTGCCAGCATCTACTTAACTCTTCTCTAAAGTTTTTCTTACATTTTTTTTTTTTTTTGGTCCTTACTTTTTAATTGCTCAATTTCTTTCCTTTGTTTTCCTAGTTAAAGGCTAACAAAGAATGAATTGGGTATTTTAGTCATTTGTGGTCATCATTAATTTCATGGTCCTCTGCATTTATTAGGTCTTATTTCCTCTCCATAATCTTCTTTCCCCCTGATATTTGTGAAAGCACATCTTATTTCCTTAATTGCTTTGGCTGGCGTGATCTAATTCTGATTTCCGCCACCCTTATCTTTTCCCAGGACGTTTTAACTGATGCATATTCTTGTTTAATTCTTTCCCTTTTTCTCAGCAGACAGGAGTGTATTTCTTTCTCCATAGATCTCCTACCAGTCTTTGGGAGAAGTTGTGCTGATTAGATTTGCCTTTCCTTTAGGGGTCCTGTCTGGGGCTGGGCACAGTGGCTCACACCTGTAATCCTAACTCTTTAGTAGGCTAAGGCAGGTGGATCACTTGAGCTCAAGGGTTTGAGACCAGCCTGGCCAGTATGGTAAAACCCCATCTCTACTAAAAATAAAAAAATTAGCCAGGGATGGTGGCACACACCCGCAGTCCCAGGAACTTGGTTTCAGGGGAGGCTGAGGCAGGAGAATCACATGAACCCAGGAGGCGGAGGCTGCAGTGAGCTGAGACCACTCCACTGTACTCTAGCCTGGGCAACAAAATGAGGCTGTTTCTAAAAAAAAAAAAAAAAAAGGTAAAAAAAAAAAGGAGGATGCTGGGCTTCCCTCCCTTTCCACAGTCTCCTCCCCCGAAACCAAACCACCCAGCTTCTCCAGTCTTCCATCTGCAGCCAGACAAAGTGCTCTTTGCCCCCTCAGTGGCAGGTAACTCTTTCCCTTGCTGTTCTCTGCTTGAACAGAAGGCTGTGCCTAGGGCAAGAAGGAAGAAGGGACACGGTGCAGTCAGATGGGCTTCCTGTTAGCAGCGCGGGTGCACAGACTGGAGGGGAAGCAAACAACAAAGATGCTGGGAGTCTCAGGGGTTGCAGGCCGTGGGTAATTAAGTGCTCCTAGTCAAAGACCTTCAAACTTGACTTTTGATTTGTTGAGAGCCAACGCCAGCGGCCGTCTCTGGACCTGCGACCTGCAGGTACCACAGCTATAGCTTCCCTTGAACACTTTGCTTATTCTTCTCATTTAACACCTACTTTGCTCTGCCTGACTTGTGGTTTGTCATTTACGTGTCTGTCTCTCCTATGCTATAAAATTTAACTCATCTCACTCCTTTGCAACCCAAGCATACTTTGGATCCCATAGTCCCTATTTCTGTTAACACCATTGCCTAGACTATTCTGGAACCATGTACAGCCTCCTTTCTCCCTCAGCCTTCCACATAATCGGTCACATGTAATAGGTTGTGCACCAAACTGCATTTTTATGAGTACCCTCCTTTTCATTGACACCAGATACCCTTCATTAAATGTTCTCTGGACACGGTGGACATTGAGGTGGCCGACTTACACCCAGCCCCTTCTCTCAATAACCACCCTTGGCTTTCCTTCCATCACCCACATCTCCCCATTTACTTAAGGGAAGCCAGCTACCCAGAACTCTAGGAAAGAAGGTGGTAGCTTAGGCCTAACTCAGCCTAATTCTACCCCACTCCCTCACGTTCCCCATTATTCTCTTTTTTTTTTTTTTTTTTTTTTTTTTTTTTTGAGACGGAGTTTTCGCTCTTGTTACCCAGGCTGGAGTGCAATGGCGCCATCTCGGCTCACCGCAACCTCCGCCTCCTGGGTTCAGGCAATTCTCCTGCCTCAGCCTCCTGAGTAGCTGGGATTACAGGCACGCGCCACCGTGCCCAGCTAATTTTTTGTATCTTCAGTAGAGACGGGGTTTCACCATGCTGACCAGGATGGTCTCGATCTCTTGACCTCGTGATCCACCCGCCTCGGCCTCCCAAAGTGCTGGGATTACAGGCTTGAGCCACCGCGCCCGGCCTGTTATTATTCTCATTGGTTCAGGGTGAGTACATGACCCAGTTCAAGCCAATGAAGCTAGAGAGGACATGTAGTGAAGACTTTGGGAACAAAAAGCTTCCTTGCTCCTGAGCGCACTTCCAGAGTTGAGTCGCCGGGTGCTGGCGGCCATCTTCCCCACTGTATGGGAACAGGCAACATGAAAGTGAAGCCATTGCAGAAGAAAGCGGAGACAAGAGATGCGGAAAGACGAAGGGTCCCCATTTTATTATCCGAGTGCAGAGATCCAGCTGCGCCCGAACCACTCCCAGACCTTGCTGTGCACGCACATTCCGCATCCAGTCCATAAGCAGATCCACCAGCACTGCCCTTGAGAATACTCAGAATCCGATGCCTTCTGTGTCCGCTGCTCTTCCCAGTCCTCTTGCTCAGACTTCTGCCGGAGCCATCACACTGGTCTTCCTGCTCCCACTTAAAAGTGGCCCAGGAGATCCTTTTAAAACCCTAAGTCAGATCATGCTACCGCTCTTTGCAGATCCCTCTAACGGTTCCCCATCCAACTCCAAGATCCTCACATGACTCTCAGGTCCTGCATGGCCTGCCTGCTCCCCGCCCGGTCCTCCCCTCTTACCATTCCAGCCCTCAGCCCGCTGCGTCCTCACCAGCATTTCAGCTCCCACTTCAGGGCCTTTGCACTTGCTGATCTATCTCCTTGGAATGCCCTTCCTCCAGATAGCTGCATGGATTTCTCTGTCTTTCTTTCAACATTCTGCTCAACCGTTACCTTTTCAGTTAGGCCGCCCCTGACACGTCCTTCCTAAAACAGCACTTCCTTATAACTCTGTATCCCCTTGCCTTGCTTCATCTTTATTTATAGTCCTTACGACCATGGGAAAAAATTACATGTTGTCAACAGAAGAAATGACAAGGTTCATACGTTTGGAAGAGAGCTGTATTTCTCATAAAGGGTTGGAGCCTGCAGGTGACCATTTCACAGGCTGGAAGTGTAGCCTCTGGTCAAAAGCCAGAAGCAAGTACTTAAGGGTGGGAAGAATAAGACAGGAACTTATGCTGAAGAGGGTGGTCAAATACACGTAACCAACAGGTTATACAAGGAGCTATAAATACTCAGAAAGGGAAGGCAGGGGCATGCAGAGCAGGCTGCCACGTAGGCAACCTGCATCCTGTGTTCACTCTGGGGTGGAAACTTAACATGTACATCTATTACAGTTAGGCTGTAAATGTCAAAAAGTGAAGCAGAGGACAAAAGGCCCTCTGTGTGCAGCCTCTGCAGACTGGCCCAAACCACCACCATGGTCAGTGGTCTCTTATGAGGAAGGAACTCTGATAACTTGTTGTATCAAAACAGGGCTGGTTTCTTTTTAACCCTTGGGGAAAAAGCCTAATAGTAGTTAGCCGCAGAGGGTGTAAGGAGATGTGTCTGACTTCCCACTTCATCATGGCTGGGAAGTCAGTTTCTCTGAGGTCTCTTTGGCCAGGCGGGAACCCATTCAGTTGGTTGGGGGGCTCAGGATTGCATTTTTATTTCTCAGTATACATGTGGTTATTATTATCTGTATCTCCCTTTAGAACATGCGCCCTATGAGAACCTTGGGCTGCTACATATCCAGTTCCTAGAACAGCAGCTGGCGAGTGGCAGGTACTCAGCGGAGTGTTGTCAGCTTGCTGATTGGATGAATGAACACGTGAGCTCATCGTTTTCCTATTTTTGCACAGAGGTATTTTCAGTTGAGTTTCTGCCACTTACAAAGTATTCTCATTAATATGTTTGCTTAGACAGCGGGTCAATGCCTGAGCTTAGGTTGGGTTGTAAGTTACATCTTCATAGATAACAGTACCTGACACGTGACTGTCCCTGTTGAATTCCAAGACACCACATTCAGGGCCCTCTTAGAAGCTTGCATTGGTTTCACAACATCAACAGGGCAAATAGTGCCTTCCCCCCGTGTTTCAGGAAGAGTGAATATGATTTGATAGAGTTAAGCAGCAAAGCAGAGACCGGAGCCCACACCTTGTCCCCAGCCCACAGCTCCTGCCCCATCTCAGGTTTGCATTTCCGTCCACAGTTCTGCAGCTTCCTAGCGTGGCATTCACCCACAGGCCTGGGGGAGTGCTACGAAATCCTGTACCATGTGATACTTACTTATCTAACATTTCTAATTCCCTCTTTCCTGAAAGCCAATAGAATTCTAAATTTTTTCCACATGAGACTGTGGGCTTTTGGGGAAAAAGAAAAGCAAACATATGGCTCTCAGAAAATCAAATCTGCCTTGTGAGATAAAAACCTCCCTCCTTCTCCCCCACCCTCCCAACTAACCCACAGTATAACATTCTTTGGAGTTTCATTTTACATTTTGGGGCTGGGACAACAGACACACATGTGTGCTTGCCTTGATTGGTCGTAATACATTGCAAAAAATCCTTCTGCAACCCCTCTCTTCCAGAGTGGTTTTTTCCTTCCTCAGCTATTCCCCACGGATAACATTAGCTCCCTTTTTAATTCCTTTCCCCTCGCTGCTTGCTCTGATGTTACTAACCAACCCCCAGTGGATATGCAGAGGCTTATTTGGTGTCACATGTAATAGATAAAACAGCGGGGGCTTCTAATCAGAAAATGTTTTTCAGGCTGCAAAAGGCTACAGAAAACTACAAAGCTGCCAGTATGGTCCAGAGTTTATTAATACATATTTGGCACAAGTTTGGCACACACCGCCACCCTGTCCCCCACGGGGGATTAGTTACATGTTTATAGACATAGCCCACGGTGGGAGGGGCAAAGAAAGAGCCCCCTTCCCAGGAGACTCCTGCAAAGCGTGTGCTTTTATCTGAGGCCCAGAGACATCCAGGTAGTAGGCGTCTTCACGTGGGCACAGCGTTAGAGTCTGCTTGAGTCTTCCTCCTATTCTACTTTTTATATTTATTTATTAGTTTATTTTTGTAGAGACGGGATCTTGCTCTGTTGCCCCAGCTGGTTTCAAACTCCTGGGCTCAAGTGACCCTCGCACTTTGGCCTCCCAGAGGGTTAGAATTAGAGGAGCGAGCCCGGCTTGCAGTGGTGTTTTTAAGAGGCCACCAATTCCTTTACACACTCCCATCAAGAGGTGGGGTCAGCATCTCCTCAGGTAAAATGTGGGCTCTGTGACCCTTCCCACGAAGTGAGTGCAGTGGGCGGACACTGTGGCCTTCCAGGGCTGGGTCAGAAGGGGCCAGGCCCACTCCATCTGCAGCTTTTGGGGTGCTCGCCGCGGCCCCTCTTTTGGATACCCCTCAGGAGGAAGCTTCCACATTGCAAGGAGCCGGGTCTCATGAAGAGGCTGCGTGGAGTGCTCTGGTTGACCATCCTCCAGCCTCCAGTCACAGGCCCCGGCATGCAAATGAGGCCACTCCCTTGCAGACACAGCTCCCAGCCCCAGCTCACACAGCGCTCAGCCATTGGCGTCACCCTGGCCGTTGAAGTCTTCCCTACAGCGCTCCAGACACAGCAGAGCAGGGAAGAGCGGGGCCCACAGGTTCTGCGAACGTAACAAGGCAGCCGTTTCTGCCCCTGAGTGTGTGTGGGGTGGTTGCAAGCAGAGCCCACGGCCAGGTGAATGCTGAGCATTTAAATGGCCCTGAGTACATTCCAAGAGCTAGACCTCCCTGGCGCCCTGGCTGTACTGCCCACACCTCATCGAATCTATGGGGCCAGACTGCAGAAAAGACTCCTTGTCCATTGTTAAAACTATGCGGAAAGAACCAGACTCTAAGGCAGTCAGCACTGACTCGCTCCCACTCTGAATGAGGCCTGCAGTGACCTCCTACTCAACCTGCCCGTCCCTCCTGGGCCTCTCTGGCCTCCTCTCCTTCCACCTTCCCTCACTCACTCCCCAGCAATGCTGGCCTCCTCTCTGGCCCCACATGGACCAGATATGCTCCCACCTCAGGGCCTTTGTTCTCCAATCCCCTGCCTGGACTGTCCCTCCTTGTGTATTTGCTGGCTGCCTCCCTTAATTCCTTTAGGTCAGGGAAGCCCTGACCACAGACTGGTACTGTCCCTGGCCTGTTAGGAACTGGGCCACAGCTTTAGATTCTCCTAGGAGCGCGAGCCCTATTGTGAACTGCACATTTGAGGAGTCTAGGTTGCACCTTATGAGAGTCTAATGCCCAATGCTGGGAGGTGGAACAGCTTCATCTTGAAACCATCCTCCCCCAATCCCCAGTCCATGGAAAAATCATCTTCCACGAAACTGGCCCCTGGTGCCAAGAAGGTGGGAAACCAGTTCTTCAGGTCTTTACTCAGAGCTGCCTCCTCTCTCCAAAGGGCAAATCCGCACCCACATCCTTCACTTACGAGACTCCTGGGCAAATCCGCACCCACATCCTTCACTTACAAGACTCCTGTTCTACTTTATTTTTCTCTTGAATACTTGTCACTATCTAAATATTCTTCTTTTCCTGTTTTTGTTGTGTGTTACGCCTTTCCCACTAGAGCGTAAGTTCATTGTGCACAGAAATACACCCCCAGGGCCTAGAAGAGTACCTGGCACAGGGAAAGTCGGCAGTCGACATCCGCTGAGGAAGTAAATGAATACTGTGTAACAAAGTTATGCTTTTGCTCTTATCCTGAGAAACAAACAGAATATTGCCTATCACAATAAAAATTTGTTAAGTGAATAAACAGGAGCCACGCAGAACGGCTGGTTATCACTGCCTTAGAAAACAATACGAATTCCATCCTGCCGAGATCTCCTCCAACCTCCCTCTCCAGCTTCACTGCCTGCCTCTCTCTGCCCAACCGGCGCGGGTATCCCCTGGTTCAGTGCACTGAAGCCTGGCTCCTGCCAGGTCCTCTGCCTAGGAGGTCCTGCATCTACCTCTTTGTTAATTTACACCCTGTTTGTCTTTTCAGGACCAGCTCAGGCACCACCTAGCTAGAGTCCCTTTGACCTCTGGTGAATTCCACGTACACTTCTCCCAGGTCCTGAGGTCCCTGCGTATCTGTCTCACCTCCTTGGTTGGTCTGAGTCCCAGGGAAGAGCAGGTGCTTCACTGCCTTATTCTTATTTGTAATCCTTACCCCCTTCACTCATAGGCAGCTGCAGGTACTGATGGGATCTGGAGAAGCTGGGGATGTGTTGGAGGGAGGGAGTGAGAGGAGGTCAGAACTCCATGTTCATCCGATTCTGTCCGGGTTTGAGAATAGGAGTAGAACTAACTAACATGCCCCTATAACAGTGAAAAGAACACAGGTCTTGGGATCAAAGAGCCTGGTCTCATGTCCTAGCTAAGTCTCCTTAGACAAACCCTTTACCTTTCCCAAGCCTGGGTTTCTTCATCTAGAAAAATGTTTATGCCACAAGGATATTGCTTGGATGAAAGAATATCATTCTTGGGGTTGGGGGGAGTGCAAACTGAAAAGCACTATGCAAATGTAAACGAACTTGCAAAACTTAGGGCCTCTAACTGGTGAAATTAACAAGCATGCGGCTCAGGTTGCTGCCAGAGGGTGGCAGCAGCAGGCAGGGACTTTGGCCCTCAGTCCTCTGAAAGAAGCAATCCTAGAAGCTGCCGGAAGGGATACATTCACTTCTAAATAGGGGTTGCCCTGACTGTGAAGCGATGGAGTGGGATCCGGCCAGGGCTGAACCAAACCCCAGAAGCCTTCCTTTGAGTGATCTTCCCCGGATTTTTTTATGGCCACCCTCACCATCACAATGCTGTCCTGACATTTCTGGCAAACGGTGTAGGTTTTTGGTTGGTGTTGAGCTTAAGTGAGCAGGCCAAATTATAACTCCTTACCCAGACCACCGTGTTATTGATTTTTAATTTTCATTTTGTAGAGACAAGGTCTCACTATGTTGCCTAGGCCGGTCTTGAACTCTGGCCTCAAGTGATCTACCCGCCTTGGCCTCCCAACATGTTGGGATTACAGGCATAAGCCACGGCACCCCGCTGCACCTCACTGTTTCAGACATGACTGAACTGAGGCCCACAGAGGTTGCTTTGAAGATCACACAAATGCTAAATAGGAAAAAGTTAGAATTCGCATTTTTAAGCTTGGGGTTTTTTTTAGCTTGAATTCCATTACATCATCACTTCTTTCACCTGCTTGTTCAGTTATTCATACAGCCAGCGTTTTTTGGGTTCTTGCAGCTGGTTGGAGAGCTGCATAGACTTCCCACTACTTAGCCATGCTGGCTGCTCTCTTGGCCTAGGCGAGCCGCTATCTCCCACCCTTCCTGCTCAGAGGTAGGGCCTCAGTCTATCTTCCTCTGCTCTGGGCAGTAGGCGCCACCGCCTTGGTGTTCTGGGGCTCGCATCCCAAGCCCAGCAGCTGAGAAGTGCCCTGTCTCCCCTGCTCCCTACATCACAGCTTCTTAGATCCCAATCTCACAGACTCTGCTGGCTTTGTACTTAGGCAATTCTGAGAAATTAACTAGGAAGAGGAGGGAACAAAAACACAAGTAAAAGGCAGAGAAACGTCATGCATACCTAAGGAATCGCATCAAGTTTCCTAGTTCTTCCCAGTCTGCAGTCCACGACTCCTGTGCCACGAAGTCCGAGCCCCGAGCTTGAGCTCTCCTGGCTTATTTCCGAAGGTCAAACTTCCTCATTTTGTCTCTTCTTTTATTAAGTTGGCTTCACTATCAGGAACATAGAGGCAAACTGGGAAGAAAGCTGACATTTGTCAAGCATCTCCCAGGGGTCAGTTGTCATGCTAGACCCTGGACACACATCACTTCATGTGACTCTCGCAATAGGCTTGAGAACAAAGCATTTGTCTTCTTTTACAAATGTGGAAACTGAGATGCAGAGACATGACATGACAGGTCTAGATTCGTGTATCTGGTATGTGGTGGCGCAAAGCTCTTTTCCCTGAAAGCACATGACTATGCAGCTAGCAACAAGCAGGTCACATTTCTTCTCTCAGAGGCGTTTACCGCTCAGGGGACTTTCAGGTCAAGTGACTCTCATCTCAGGAACCCAGGCTTCACACCGGAACTGGCACCGTAGGTCGATTCTGTCCTCTCTGCTTTGTGGGTAAGAAGCCCAAGAGGAAAAGAAAACTGAGTTTTTGCCTTGGAGGAGATGCAGTCTGGCAAAGGAACGAACTCTCAGAGACGGGCTTTTTGGTTGGAAAAGAGCATGTGAGCCGCCATGCTGCAGGCATTGGGGACCGACGACATAAGGCTGCTTTTGGGAGAACACTCGCCTCATTGCCTGGCAGTGGCGATGTTTGTGGAATCTGATTTTGCTGCTGATACTGATAATGAAATTCTTCTATGATCATCCAGATGCATCAATAGGGCCTGGCCGCAGACACACAGTGTGGCCTTTTCGATCATCACTGAAGCCCTGGCAAATGTCAGGTTTTAGTAAAAAATGCGGCTGGGTGTGGTGGCTCACCCAGTGGCCACTCTCTTGACCTAGGTGAGCCAATATCTTCCACTCTGGGAGCACTTTGGGAGGCCAAGGTGGCAGATCATGAGGTCAGGAGTTCGAGACCAGCCTGGCCAATATGACAAAACTCTGTCTCTACTAAAAATACAAAAATTAGCTGAGTGTGGTGGTGCGTGCCTGTGGTCCTAGCTACTCAGGAGGCTGAGGCAGGAGAATCGCTTGAACCCAGGAGGTGGAGGTTGCAATGAGCCGAGATCGCGCCACTGTCCTCCAGCCTGGGTGACACAGCTAGACTTTGTCTCAAAAAAAAAAAAAAAAAAAAGCTAGATGCATGGCTCCTTTTTTGTGTTCCTCCCCTGAGTCTGTGGGAAGGTGCAATGAGGGTGCCAGTGGAGACACCAAAGGGAGGAGCTGGAAGTTAGGCAGGAAGGTGATGTGGGACGCAGGGACTGCAGCAGCTAAGGACAAGTGAGGTGTGCGGGGCAAAGGTGACACCGAGGTCTCAGGAAGAAGCAATCAGTGTCCCCGAGTTTGGAGCGCAGCTTGGGGATTAGGTGATGAAGGTGTGGATGGAGGGGACAGGCACACCCCAGAACATCTCAGGGCTTAGGGTCTGCCACTGAAACATGAAGGGATCCCATCCCATTTGGAATTTCTTTCTCTTCTAAAAGTCCACAGTTCAAAAAATTCAGCTGGGTGTGAAGTACAGAAATGTCCATTTTGACCATAGTCCTGAGTTGACCTGAACCTTGTTAAGGCTCTCCCTTGAGAAAGGGAAAGGGAAGTGGAAGTCAAGATCATCAGTATTTTACTGGTCAGAAAATAAGAGGTCAACCTGAAGTAAGACCTCTAAGAATGTTTTCTTCCTTCTCTGCTTCTTATTCTCTTTCCTGTAGCCTGCTTCCACAGGAGTGTGAGCTTAGGTGAGAAAAAGAGTCAATGACAGTAGCGCAAGAGCCAACCTGCCCCCTGCGGCGAGAGTGGTCAGGCAGAAACCGGAATGAGTCACCAAGTAGAGGCTGTTCTGCTGAAATGCAAACACTCAAAGGCAGGTTACTCCGTCCAGTAAACTCAGAGCGTTTACTCAAGTGGGAGGTCCGCTTAGAATTCAACAGAATTCAACTCAAGGACAATGCATGTTCAACTTAGAAATATTAGAGTAGCAACAATCAACAAGGAGGGCAGAAGAGTAGCTATCATCCACCACAAAGGGTCCAACACCCTGGGGACATTCTGCCAAGAGACGCACCCAACACACACTTTTTGAGACATCGAGTGGGACTACGTTGTTGATTGTGAGGGGTACCAGAAGATGCTGATGTAGGGCAGGAAACCTCCATTGGGACTTAGCCTGGGCCTGTTCTTGGCTTCACTCAGGGAAGAATCAAGGGCCAGCTGGTGGTATTAGACAGCAATGTTTATTGAAGCAACAGCAGATGTGCTGCACCACAGGCAGCGTGTGCAGAGGAGCAGCTTAAAGGCAGTTCAGCTTCCTAGTTCTACCCATTTTAATTGCATGCAAATTAAAGGGCAGATTATGCAGAATTTTCTAGGAACAGGGTGGTAACGTCTGGGTGGCCAGGTCCTTGCCATGGAGAGGGGCGGTAAAGGTTGGGTAAGGCAACAGTAAACTGACATGGCACGCTGCTGGGCACGTTTCACGGAAAGCTGCTTCCACCCATCTCTGTTTTAGCTAGTCCTCAATTTGGTCCAATGTCCAAGCTTACTTCAGAGTCAAGTTCCGCCTCTTTCCTCAACACCACCCTATAACATGCCTTTTTACCATATGGATTATTTTGAGCAAAAGGCCGTCACGAACCAGCAGAGGCAGTAAAAGCCTTGAAAACACAGCACAAGATTTTCCTTTTGCAAAGTAAATTCACAATTTATGAAGAAAATACCCATTTGTAAAAAGTTCTCTCTCTCTCTGCTGTACCAGGAAGAAGAGGACTCTTTTCTTTTCTTTTTCTTTTTTAAAGTCAGCACTTCACCATGTTGGTGTCAGGCTGGCCTTGAACTCCCAAACTCAGGTGACCTTAGCCTCCAAAGTGCTGGGATTATGGATGTGAGCCACCACGAGGGGTCCGAGAAGAAGACTTTTAACAACTCTTATCAGTGGAGAAGGTTTTGGCTTCAATCTGCACAACAAACCTTACTTAACTCTTGTTTACCACACCCTTCCTGGTCACTGGGTAACCGCGTCCCCCACCCTTTTTCTTTGTTTAGCCTAAGATACTCTATAAGTCCAAGTTCTAACAACCCTTTGGGTGACTCACCGAGGGGTGCTCCCACAGTCTACGAGGGATACACATTTTAGTAAACTTTTATGTGCTTTTTTCCCCTTGTTAATCTGTCTTTTCCTAGTCTGATTTGCAGGGCTCCAGCCAGAGAACCTAAGACGAACAGAGGAAAAAGATGACTTTTCTCCTCTCCTACAGCCAGGACCTGTTTTTGTCAAATTCCACAGCTTGTCTATATCATGATTTACTTAACCAATTTCCTTCTCTTAGACATTTAAATTGTTTCCAATTTTGACTTTAAAATACTGTAGTGTATAAATTTATAGCCAAGTCTAGTACATAGCCTTCATTATTTCCTTGTGATAAAATCATCCTTGTGGACTTGTTAGAAATCCACATATTTTTTATACCTCTAATTCGCACTGACAAATTGCCCACCAGAAACTATACCTATTTGCAATTCTCCTGGCCATATACAAGAATGCCCATTTTCACCATCATCAATGCTATGCTTTCATTTTTGAAATGAAGATGAAAAATGCATCTGTGTTAAAACTGACATTTCCTTATTAATAAATAGAAATAAAATTATTTTGTGGATTGCTCCTTTTATGAGTTTGACTCATTTTAATATTAAGGTGTTTATCTTTTCTTTCTATGTTTACAAGAAGAATTTAATGTTGGCCAGGCACAGTGGCCCACACCTCTCATCCCAAAACTTGGGAGGCCAAGGTGGGAGGATCATTTGAGCCTAGGAGTTCAAGATCAGCCTGGGCAACATAGTGAGACCCTGTATCCACAAAAAATTAAAAAATTAGCCAGGCATGTTGCCACATGTCTGTATTCCAAGCTACTTGGGAGGCTGAGGCAGGAGGATCACTTGAGCTCAGGAGGTCGAGGCTGCAGTATGCTGTGCTCACACCACTGCACTCCATCCTGAACAACACAGCAAGACCCTATCTCTAAAATTAAAAAAAAAAAAAGATGTCTTTGTCATGTATCTTGCAAGTAAGTTGCTCTTCTTAGTACATTGTCTTTTAATTTTTTAATTTTTTTTTTACATAAAAAGTGTCTACATTTAACAGAGTCAGATCTATTGATCTCTTTCTTTTTCATGGTTTCTGCCCTCAAAGCCATGCTCATCACTCAGAATTGAATTAGTTTGGGAGGGGCAAAATTAATGTTCCCAATAGAGGAACGGAAAGCCGCTTTTCACATGCTCCATGAGGAAAGTGAGAGGAAGAGAAGGCAAGCGCCCTCAAAAGCTGAGACAGGTCATAGGATGGCAGACACCACCTTGTCCCCACCAGGCCTTGACAGACTGGATTGGATGGTGGCTGGTGGGTCAGCCACTCACAAGCAGGAAGCTCCGTGCTGCTCCTCTAGGTCGGCAGATACTTTTGAAAAAATATGTGTGCCATAAGCATCCTGTCTTAAAAAGACATTTTTATTACAAAAAAAAGAGTGTTTATTTCCAAAATTTCAAACTTCACAGAGATTAATAAAATGTGAAACAAAAATAAAATCCCAGGACCCCAATTCACTATGCCAAAAGGAAAGATTTAGCTGCACGTTGAGTCACGCAAGAAACGGACTCTCCTCGAGTTCCTAAGCAGACAGCTACAGATAAAAGGCCAGCCATCTCCAAGGGTGGGTACCCTATGTTCACCCCCCCTTATGAAAGTTCCGATTTACTGAGCACGAGGAGAATACACAATGGACCATTCCCCTACCCGCTTCTTTTCTCTTGCAACATATGGATTCAGTAATGTAACTATACCTTCCCTCTTGCCCCTCCAGCCAGCTTTTCCCCTTTAAATACTGAAGCCTTCAAAACCATCTTGAGAAAAAGGCACAAACCACAGATTGTTCGTGTAGTTCTGTGTTCCTTTTTGTCCTTGATATTGACAAAATCAACTGTTAAATTGATGAAGACCTGTCTCAGAGACTTTTTGGTTTACAAAGGTACGAAGTGAGAATTTCATTTCAGTTCTCTCACAATCTAAGACCTGGAGAACAAGCACTCGGACAAAGTCCGCAGCAGCCCTTTCAGCCTTTCTTCCCGCACATACATGAATAGCAACACAGCATGGTGCAGTCTACGGGTATGCCCCTAGCATAGTGTAAACATAGTCTCATACAAAAAGGGCTAATCCTATAAATACTGTTTTGCGGCTTGCTCTTTTCATGTGATTTACCAAGAGCATCTTTCCACGTCTTACTTTTAGGCCTATGTTATACTATTTTGACAGTTATATAATATTTCACAACATAAATATACCATAATTTTAATTGTTTGCAATTGTTTATAACAAATATGCTACAACAAACGTCCTTGAACACAATTTTTTTGTTTTTTTTGAGATGGAGTCTCACTCTGTCACCCAGACTGGAGTGTAGTAGCACAATCTTGGCTCACTGCAAACTGTGCCTCCCAAGTTCAAGTGATTCTCCTGCCTCAGCCTCCCCAGTAGCTGGGATTACAGGCACCCGCCACCATGCCTGGCTAATTTTTGTTGTAATTTTAGTAGAGACGAGGTTTCATCATGTTGGCCACGCTGGACTCGAACTCCTGACCTTGTGATCCACCTGCCTCGGCCTCCCAAAGTGCTGGGATTACAGGCCACCATGGCCTGCCCTTGAGTAGAGTTTTAAAACATCTGTGCAATCATTTGTATGGGATAGATTTCTCAAATTAAAATCACTAGGTTAGAAAGAAGACATACTTTGTTGTTGTTGTTTTTGAGATGGAGTCTTACAATGTTGCCTGGGCTAGAGTGCCATGCTGTGAATCTCTGCTCACTGCAACCTCTGCCTCCCGGGTTCAAGCAATTCTCCTGCCTCAGCCTCCCAAGTAGCTGGGATTACAGGCACCCACCACCACGCCTGGCTAATTTTTTGTATTTTTAGTTGAGACAGGGTTTCACTATTTTGTCCAGGCTGGTCTTGAACTCCTGACCTCGTGATCTGCTCTCCTCAGCCTCCCAAAGTGCTGGGATTACAGGCATGAGCCACTGTGCCCAGCCTAAATAAAAGACACACATTTTAAAGTTTGGTGGAAATGATAAATTCCTTTCCTCAGAAGGTATTGATTTACATTCCCTCTGATGTTGTATGAAGATTCATTTCTCCACACATTCATGTTAATAATGTAAATTACCATCTTTTCTAATTTTACCAATCTGATGGTGAAAAATGGTATTTTATGGCTATGATATATATATATTTTTTTGATGACATTAGATGCTTCGCATAGGTTTGATATTTCTTCTGTGAGGTATTTCTTCTGAAAGCTGATCATTTCTATCCTTTTCTTATTTTAAAAACTATTTTTATTGATTGATAAGAATTATTTCTATGCCTTAATATTAATAATTTTATATATATTGCAAAGATTTTGTCATGCCTCTTCATTTTGACCCTTACCTCTTTGCCCGCACAGAAATCTTACTTTTTATGTCGTCAATCGTGTTCATCTTTTTGTTCTTACTTTGGATTAGATGGTATATGTAGATAGGCCTTCCATACTCAAGCTATAAAAATATCTTTCTAGGGTCAGGCATGGTGGCTCATGCCTATAATACCAGCACTTTGGGAGGTTGAGACAGGCAGATCACCTGAGGTCAGGAGTTTGAGACTAACCTGACCAACATAGAGAAACCCTGTCTCTACCAAAAATACAAAATTAGCTGGGTGTGGTGGCACATGCCTGTAATCCCAGCTACTCAGGAGGCCGAGGCAGGAGAATCACTTGAACCTGGGAGGTGGAGGTTGCAGTGAGCTGAGACTGTACCACTGCACTCCAGCCTGGGCAACAGAGCAAGACTCCATCTCAAAAAAAAAAAAAGGAATATCTTTCTACATTGTCCTTTTAGCATTACTATTATGATTTTATTTATTTATAAATAAATAAAGAGATGGAGTCTCACTCTATTGCCCAGGCTGGAATGCAATGGCACGATCTCGGCTCACTGCAACCTCTGCCTCCTGGGTTCAAGCAATTCTCCTGCCTCAGCCTCCTGAGTAGCTGGGATTACAGGTGCCCACCACCACACCCAGCTAATTTTTGTATTTTTAGTAGAGATGGGGTTTCGCCATGTTGGCCAGGCTGATCTTGAACTCCTGACCTCAGGTGATCCTCCCGCCTCGGCCTCCTAAAGTGTTGAGATTTCAGACACCGCTCCCAGCCACCATTTAGCATTATTATAATATTTTTGCATTTAAAATTGTAATCCAACTGTAATGCATTATTGTGGATGATGCTCACACAACCATGAGATAAATATTTGGGCTTCCTTTTACCCAGTAATAGCAAACAACTGCTTTCCTCGGCAACTTTCTAACAGATAATATCCATTTGTACTTAGAGTTGAAAAGGAAAACAAGCACCACTTTTACAATTGTTACTCACTGTGAGCTAAAGAATTGCAGCTGAAACTGTGCTTTGGAAGTCGGTCAAGTTACACCTCTTTTCCGTGACTTGCTCTCCCTAGACGTCTTCTCAGGCCACATCGATCTCTGCGCCACTGTCTCTTTCCTTGTTTGACACATTTCTCCTCTCTGTTCCTGTCCCTGTTCCCTCTCACTTCCCTTTTTTCTCCTAATCTCTCTTTTTTCTTAACCGTCTATCATGCTAATCGCTTTAAATGCTTTTGACTCGTTTGTTCTGGTGGATTAATTATATTTCATAGTGTTTACGCTTCTTTGTTTTGGAACAAGTTTTTATTTACCTGTCAATTTCACCACAGTTGTAAAACGTATGCCAAACATAGGATTTGGGGATTGCAAGCATTTACAGCTGATGCTCAATTTCCTTTTTTTTTTTAATCACAAAAATGATTTTAGAACATGAAAAATATCTTTGGAGAAACAGAAAAAAATCAATTTCTAATCATTCTATGGGTATACATTTTTCAGTATTTATAATCATCTAGGATAAATATTTGCCTTCTGCTACTGGCTTTGAACATTTACCTATATTTCTATGTGGTGTTTTAGAGTCTGTAGACCTAAGTGGATAAAAGACTGTGTGGCTGAATTTGGCCTCTTGCTTCCAAAAGAGTGATCCCGAATGATCTACATAGTCTCTCTGCTCCTTTTCTCTTTCATTGGGATGAGAAAACTCTTCCTTCCCAATTTTTTGTGTGGAGATCAAAATGTGGTAAGAAAACACACACTCATAAACACATCTGCTTAGGCAAAGGAGCACATCAGAAGGGCTGGCTTGTGGCTCGCTCTCTCTCTGTGTATGTGTACATGTTTTATGTTACTGTAAAACGTGTAAAGAGAGGCACGTGGTTAAGTTGTCGGGGTGCGGACTTCACCAGTCTCACTTTAGTTCCTTTTGCATGAAGAGCTCAGAATCCAAAGAGGGAACTAGCTCCTAAGATGAGCCTTCCATGTAAAATTGTAGCCAGCTTCCTTCTGATTTTCAACATTTCTTCCAAAGGTAAGTTGGTGCGTGGATCTCCATCGTCACTGTTAGAAGCTTCTTCAGAGATCCTGAAGTAAGCTTAAGAGTCAAAGAAGTCCCAACGTAGCTTTTTCTGGAAGTGAGTCTCAGTAATTCTTTTGCTTTTTACAGGTTTACTCTCCAAAGATGTTAGGAATGCCTTGGAAGTCTGGGGTGCTTTGGGTCAAGACATCCACTTGGACATTCCTGATTTTCAAATGAGTACTGATATTGACGATATAAAATGGGAAAAAGGTTCAGACAAGAAGAAGATTGCACAATTCAGAAAAGGGAAGTCGACTTTTGAGGAAAAAGATGCGTATAAGCTATTAGAAAGTGGGACTCTGAAAATCAAGCATCTGAAGATGGATGATCAGAATACCTACACAGTATCGATATACGATGCAGAAGGAAAAAGTGTGTTGGAAAAAACGTTTGATTTGAAGATTCTAGGTAAGTGTTCATTCCTCAGATTGCTTTATTTCAGTATGAGTGCTATTTGGCAAGTTGGAAAATAGCACTTATACTATTCCCCAGCGCTGACCTCTGCCTCCAGGGGGGCTGTACAGGAAATCAGACGCACGTGTCCTGCCACCACGGTCCAGTGTGGGAACGGGATCCACACACCTGATAGACGCTCAAGGCTACCTGCCTACAACCCTCTCTTCAGGTGGTTACAGGAAGGTGGGGCTGGGTGAAGAACCTGGATTAACGTAGCATTAATCAGGAGGGGGACAGGTGAACAGAGGGAAAAGGCAACTGTTCTAGTGGCTGACGACGGGGTGGGAAGAAGAGGCTGATGGGAGAGCAGCGGGCCTTTCATCAAGAGAGCTCGTTTCAAGCCAGGGTGCCCTGAAGGAGGAGTTACATGGCAGAAAAAGGCTGGAAACAACATATTTAAGGATCAACAGCCCTTGTTTTGGATCTGCTTGTCAGAGTGATCCAAGGTGGTAGGTGGTTTTTGCTGCTATGTGTAGAAGACGCACAAGGTGTGGCTTGGTATGTCGCTGCGTGTACTGGGCGGGCAGGAGTGGGTATTGAGGATGGGGTTAGGGAAACTAGCCAGAAAGCTGCTGCTGGAATCCGAGTGGAGTGAAGACCAATTAAATCTGAATTTTTTGGCTTAGGGCCAAAAATTTTTTTGGTTTCAATAAGTTCTAAAGCTCCCTGGGGGATTCTAATGAGCAGCAGCCAAAGTTAATCACCACTGGCCTAGACCAAAGGGCGCCGGTCCATAGGAAGAATGTAGATAAAAAGGGTCAGGCTTAGAGAAAGGATGGACAGGTGGCTTGGGCAAGGGAGAGAAGGAAGAGAAAGTGGAATCGAAATGCCACTCAGCTTGAAAGCCCAGGGGACGCTGAGCAGGCAGTGATCATTTTCGCATGTTTAATAGAGACGGGCTTCACCATGTTGGCCAGGCTAGTCTCGAACCCTTGGCCTCAAGTGATCAGCCTACCTCAGCCTCCCAAAGCGCTGAGATTACAGGCATGAGCCACCTGAACCAGCTGAAATATTATATTATTTATATATGTACATATAAGTAGAAAATATCTGACAAAGATATACATCAAAATATTAGTCATTGTTGACTATGAGTAGTGGCATTGGGGGTAATTTTTAATCTGATTTAAGCTTTTAAAAATATTTTATCAACTTGTACAATGACCGAAGTTGAAAACCCACAGACGCTGGGCAGGGAGTGATAAGAGAGGAAAAGAGGAAGCTGCCCTTGGCTGGGGGAGAAAGACATGAACCCCAGCATGAGCATAGGCCAGCCAGTCGGTGAGCAAAGAAGCATTTCTCTGTCTCACACAGAAAATGTTTCCAGAAGCAGGGCCCCTCCTCCTTCCTCTCTCTCTCTCCAGCCCCATCTTCAGCTCCTGGGCCTACCAGCAATCCCAGATATTGTCAGATGACCCACTCCAGCAATCCCAGATAGACACTGTCAGCCCTGCTGCAGTCACAACTTTCCACACCCTAGTCCTGCAACCTTGAATGGAGAGCACCTTGTAGAAATGTAGTGTGCTTGAGCATGGCGCTGAAAGGGGCCTCTGATTCTCTGGAAACCATAGATCTCAGGACTCCAAACAGCACAAGTTGTGTGTCCTGTTTGGAGTGTGAGCCCTACAGGGGGACCCTGCTGGTGCTTTCACATTTGGGTCCCCTAGCACTGCGGTGGAAATAATGGCTACCAGCTAGGGGTCAGGTGCTTGCTTACATGGTCTTATTTGAAGCTCCCAACAATACTGAGACGTACTTGTTATGATCTTCTCGTTATGGATAAGAAAACAGAGACCTAGTGAGAAGCAGCTTGTCCAAGGTCTCATTGCTTGACAGGGGCAAAGTCAGGATTCAAACTCAGAGGGCTTCTTGGCAAGGACGGTGACCTTTTCTTTTTATCCGAACGGCTTCATTGAGATAATCCACATACTGTTCAGTTTGTCCGTGTACTAACATGGCCTTTAGTATACTCAGAGTCTTGCAGTCATCACCAAAATGGACATGTTCATTGCTTCAAAAAGAAACCCTTCACCCTTTAGCTGAAAGACGGCGATTTCCCGTTGTGCGTGTGCACGCCAGTGTCATGCGATGTCTTGATTCAGCTTGTAGCTGGTCACCATTACCAGACTTAAGGTCACCATGGCCTTGGGAAAATTCCCTGTCTGCTCTGAGTCTGATTTCCCAATGCCAACTTCAAGGGATATTCAATGCGACAATGTGTATACAAGAGCCCTGCAGTGCCTGGGGCACAAGACCTGTTTCCTCGGTGCTAATGCCCTCCCGCCCCTCTTTCTTTCTCCAAACTTCATTCTCTCTCTCTCTTCTCTCTTTTTTTTTGAAACAGAGTCTTGCACTATTGCTCAGGCTGGAGATGGGCACGATCTCGGCTCACTGCCACCTCTGCCCCTCAGGTTCAAGAGATACTCCTGCCTCAGCCTCCCAAGTAGCTGAGGTTACGGGCATGTTCCACCATGTCTGGCTAATTTTTGTATTTTTAGTATAGACGGGGTTTCGCCATGTTGGTCAGACTGGTCTCAAACTCCTGACCTCAGCCTCCCAAAGTGTTGGGATTAAAGGTGTGAGCCACGACACCCGGCCTTCCCAAACTTCTCAAACTTCTGTAGTTGTAACTGCCTTTCCTTCAGGAGGGAGCCGCTGCTGCAGGCTGAAGAGGTGGTGGAGGCCCCCTTAGAAGCAGATGCTGGTAGAGAAGGGGTTAATCTCAGCCACTCAGAACTAAGGAGTTCTCATCGGCGGAAGGCCTTAGGTTGGACCAGTTCTAAGGCGCTGTCTTAGCGAATACATACAGAGGTACCACTCCACGAGGCTGCTGGTCACTGTGCTGTTCATGTTAGTGAAATACAGGAACAGTTGCGGTGAGAAACTTATTAGTTAAATTAAGAATGCACCCTTCACAAAGATGGAGATATGCATTTATTGATGTTCATTAAGGAAAGAATTTCATAATATAATTTCAGTAAAGGGGAAAGGCAGACTATAAGATCACATAAACTCATTTTGATTTTTAAAATATTACACATATATGGGAGGTCTCTCTTTGTCACCCAGTCTGGAGTGCAGTGGCACAATCTTGGCTCACTGCAGCCTCCGCCTCCTGGGTTCAAGCGATTCTCATGCCTTAGCTTCCTGAGTAGTTGGGATTACAGACGTGTGCCAACACACCTGGTTAATTTTTGTATTTTTAGTAGACATGAATTTCTCCATGTTGGCCAGGTTAGTCTCAAACTCCTGGCCTCAAGTGATCCGTCCACCTCAGCCTCCCAAAGTGTTGGGATTACAAATGTCAGCCACCTCACCTCTCTAAAATATCATATTATTTATGTATGTACATATAAACAGAAAATATCTGATACAGATATACATGAAAATGTTATTCATTATTGACTTTGAGTAGTGGCATTGTGGATAATTTTTAATCTACTTTAAACTTTTAAAAATATTTTATCAACTTGTACAATGATTGGATGCTATTGCTATAAACAGAAAAAGAATATTTCCATTTTGAAGAGACAGGTAAACTCCATGATGCCACCCCTAGATTATGTACTAACTCTGCTGCTGAATGTTGATACTTTCCATTTTCTTTCTTCTGGGTAACACAGAATTTTGGGATGAGAAGAAGACTTCTATTTAATTTCTGCATGCCTATATATAGTGGGACAGAAATGAAGCTTGGCTGGGATCATCCATGGGGAAGATCAGAGTGGGAGGGAATCATTGGAAAATAAGCTGTCCATCTGTACTATGAACAGAGAGAAACTGAGAGGGAAAAGTGGCAAGTCTGGGGAAACAAAGTAAAGAATGAGAAAAAGAACAGAAGAGGAGGAAAAGAAGGTGACACGGCCAGGAAGCGATGGGGCTAGGAGGTAGGCCAAGGCTAGGCATTTCCCTTTAATGGCTCAGTCTTTAAATTTTAGCATGTGGGAAGAGGAGAGGCAGGAAGTTTGTGATTATTGAATGCATGAGCCACCACTCCTAATGTCACTGCCTGACATCTGCCCAGGGCTTTGCCACATGTTGTCTCTTTTCTGACAGGCAGGGCATGGTTTTCTACCCTTTTCTGATGCTCTGAGCAGGGCCAGCGTAGACCCAGTGAGCAGCTGAGCAGCTCTGGACTGGGAAAAGGTGGAACCAAGTGTCTGGCTCCCAGGCAGGTGCTCTTTTTCCCCAGAGCTTTGAGCTCCTTGGACACCCATACACCCACATGTACCCACCTGGCCCTCTGCTCTGGGAACTTGGTGGGGGTCAATGTGACAGTTCCTTTAGGATGGGGTCCCTGGCTGCTCTTAAAGCATTGCCCTTCTCAAACTCCAGAGGCACCTTCTTACCCATACTCCTAAGCCCTGACTGCCATGTTTTAGGTGGTGCCCCAAATCCACCCACGGAACCTCTCAAAGCCTTGAGCATTTTGCCTGCAATTGGGAAGAAGACATCAGCCATTCTTCTAGGAGGTGCTGTCAATATGTGAAAGCATTTTAAGGTACAGGATAGCACATAAACATTACATGTGCTGCACTATTTTGTGGCACAATGTATCTATGAACTTCATTAGAAACCATGTTTTTTCCGAATGCTCTTTGTAAATAAAATAATTTGCAAAAGTTGCTGGAGGTCTTTGAAATTGTCCCCTTTTCCTTAACTGACCCCATCCCCCACTGTATAAATAGATTTGCTTATTAAAATCAGAAAATCGTCTAAATCGAACTGGATCTTTATTTTCTTTTTAGAGAGAGTCTCAAAACCGGATATCTCCTGGACTTGTATCAGCAAAATCCTGACCTGTAAGGTAATGAATGGAACCGACCTCGAATTAAACCTGTATCAAAATGGGAGAAATCTCTCAAAAGGTTCTCAGAGGGTCATCACATACAAGTGGACCCCCAGCCGGAGTAGGAAATTCAACTGCACAGCAAGCAACAAAGTCAGCGAGGAATACCATGTGGTGGATGTCAGCTGTCCAGGTGCGTGGCGGGTGTCGCTTCACACACACGGCCGGTCAGGCCCTTGGCAGGCAGAGGCACGCTGCTCCAGGTCACAGGAGCTCATGCTGGGAGGCAGCCTTGGCTCAGGATGAGGCGTAAAAACATCTTCCTGGAAATCTTCAAGGGAAGGCTCAGGGGAAGTGGTATTCTATGGTTACCCCTCCTGGGAGTCCTCCCACTGAATACAATTTGACAACAAGCAATTTTAAAGATCCTCTTCTGGGAGAAAGAAATGCAAAATGGAAGAGGAAGGAGCTATAGACAGTATGTCAGGCAAAGACCCATTTTCCAGAGAGGGAAACTGACTTGCCCAGGGTCCCTCGGCTAGTTAGTTGCATGATTCCAACCGCCCCCTTAAAGATGGTCAGTGGCCAGTGCCTCCTATCAGGAGTAAAGGTAGAAAGGATGCAGAAATCCTGGGAGATAGGGACATGGGGGAATGGAGTCCTTGAGGCCAAAGAAGACTGGATACAGTCCTGGCACACCGCAGGACAGCAAGTCTTGGGGACTAGCTCCAGAAAGTCTCAAAGCTCCAAGAGCATAATGGATCCCCAGTGTCCCAGCTTGACATGACCTCCAGAAGTAATTCTGAGAGGCAGCCTGCTATAGTGCCCAAGCTCTCACCTGGGAGCAGAGGTCTGGACTTCTAGTTTGAGTCTGCCCAAATTTACCAGAGGACCTTGACAGAGTTTTTTTCCCCTCTGTAATCTTCAGTTCCCTGGCCCATGAAGAAAATAAGCTCCACGTTCACAGACTCTCTATCAGATGAGTAGGCTCTTGGATCCACTTCCAAGTTCATTCATGTGGGCCATTGGGCTGCCTCACAATATGGCAGCTCACTTCCTTCAGAGCACTCTAAGAAAAGCAGGAATAAGTGCTCAGGACAAAAGCCATGGTCTTTTTATAACTTAATCTCAGGAGTACTATCCCAATCATGTCTGCTGTGTTCTATTCATTAGAAGCAAGTTAGTAAGTCGAGCTCACATTCAGAGGGGATTGTACACAGGTGAGAATACCAGGAAGCAGGGGGCATTGAAGGCATCCAAGAGTCTTCCAATCACCAACTTGACCAGCATTACTTCATCCTGTTTTCCCACCAGTCATCCTCCCACATCCCCCCATCACTAAGGCACAGTAAGTGAAGTTGCCTCTCCTTGATTTCACAACTTTCTTTTCCCTTTCAAGAAGCCTCCCAACTTTTTTTTTTTTTGAGACAGGGTTTTGCTCTGTTGCCCAGGCTGGAGTGCAGTAGTGTGATCATAACTCACTACAGCCTCGACCTCCCAGGCTCAAGCAATCCTCCCACCTCAGCTTCCCCAGTAGCTGAGGCTACAGGTGTATGCCACCACACCCAGCTCATTTTTAAATTTTTTGTAGATAAGGTTTCACTATGTTGCCCAGGCTGGTCTCGAACTCCTGTGCTCAAACTATCCTCCAACCTCAGCATCCCAAAGTGCTGGGATTATAGGCATGAGCCACTACAGTGGCCTTGGGATATCTTAGATTAGAGTTGCCAGATATAGCAAATAAAAGTACAGTATAAGTATGTTTCAAATATTGCATGGCACATATGCTAGAAATCATTCATTGTTTATCTGAAATTCAAATTTAAGTGGGTGTTTTGCATTTTATCTGGAAACTGTACTTTTCATGTTTATTTTAACTGGAGCCCACATGTATAAAAATGTGTGTGTATTAGGGATGGGAGGAGGGAGAGAGGGCGGACCTTGGGAGCAGACTGGAACACTTGCGTCCCGTACCCCTGGTGCAGAGCAGCAGCTGGTTGGGAGAAGGACCACTAGGGAGATGGGAAGAATACCTGGGGAGAGATTGGGGTGGAGGGGCTGGTCTTAAAGGCTGGAAAAGGGGTTTGGACATTTTACTCTAAAGGGAGCACTTATCAGACTAGAACCATTTGGCTCAGATTAGGTGAGTGTTTACAGACTTAAAACGAAAATACTGGGAGGAAGGAACCGATTCAGATACATAAAAATACTTTATCACATAAACTCATGGACATGTGATCACCAAAAGAAACTGTGGGAAGACAGTATGCCTGGATTTAGGAACTGCGGAGACGCATTTTTGACTGACAGTGCCACAGCTGCTTCTGAAACATGATGAAACGTTCCCCACCAAGAGCACCACCAGGTGTTTGTCCAAGAGTACCCTGGACAAACGAGAACAGGCTGCGTAGGGCATTGCCTACATTACTGCATACGCCCAAGATAAGGTTGTGGTCCCCCTACCCAACAACTCAGAGAGAAGATGGAGCTTGCGGCTGCGTGACTTAGCCATGTGCTCCCCAAAGCATTTCAGGCGGCCCGGCCCCACCCCGGGTCAAATCTGAGACGTTCTCAAGCTCAGCAGGAAGTGGCCTCTGGTATCTCCCACCCCTCCTCCAAGCCAGCAGGGCCTAAAGGGCCCTGGATCCTTTATTAACCCAATTTCAATGGTTTAAGATTATACCTGCTTCTCTGGTGGAGGCCTCTTCATCAGTAGAGCTTAGAGAGGTTGTATAACTGACTGGCAAAGAATGGGTCAGAGAGAGACTGGAGGAAAGAAAGCCAAGATGAACACCGCACCGCAGTTCGCTCATCTGCTAAACTTGCTTTCTGAGCCTCTGACTTGCTCCTGGGGCCCATCCTGGGCTTCAAGTACCACAGTGTCTCCCTAGGATTTTTTTTGCCTAGAGAAGCATTTTGTGATGCTGGGCCAAGTTCCAGTTTGTTCTTCAGATGACCCTGTCCGCTGACCCCAGCCCCACTGCTGCTTCTCTGACTGCTATTGACACACAAAGGGCAGACAGCCCAGCACCCCTCCTGGGAAACAGCTCCCAGCAACACCAGTGCGAAGAACACTAGTAAGAGCAAGACCTCGCATTTGTACTGTTTTACAGTTTACAAAGCAGTTTCACATCCTTTATCTGATTGACCTCCAACAGCCAGCTGTGACATAGGTTTCATCTTTCTCCACTTTACAAAGAAGGAGACAGGCTCAGAAAGGTGAAGTAACTCTCCCAAGTTCACGCAGCTCTTGCCTAGAAAAGCCTGGACCAAACCTGTTTCCCTTAAAAGTCACTGTTTTCCTCATTGCATTACAGCCACTGAAGTTCTGGCAACTGATGACTAAGTGTGCTGCTGTCACTAACACGCTGTGCACCCGGGTTTCTCTTGTGGCTCCAGGGAAACTGCGATGGGGTGCTGGCCATGAGATCAGAGTGCTGGGCTGGACAAGTGAAGTATTTACCCAAGTGTTTGGAAACGGCCTGGTTGAGAGGGTGAGAAGGAATCATGGTACAGGAAGGGAGCCAGAGATGAGAGCAGGATCAGCAGTACAGAAACACCGAGACAAGGGGCTGCTTAAGGGGACTGCACGGGAACAGGTATCCTGTGGCCTCAGGCAACTCATCCTCCCTCTCGGGGCCTCATCTTTGTACTAGAGGTTGCATTAGAGTATCTCTAAGATCCTCAGATCTAAAATTTCATGATGTTCTCCATGACGGGGCAGTGGGCACGTCTTGGTGTGGGAATAATGTAGTTCCAGTTTCCGAGAGCAGTTTCCCAAGGAGCCTGCAGAGGGAGCTTCCCCAGGACCTTGGGCCCTTCCAGCATCCGCGCCACTCCCCACCCTCCGTGAGCATGGGCGCTATGGGCTGAAAGGTCCCTCCCAGCTCCTTTATCCGCTTGATGAAGGAGGCGGCATCCTGGGCCAGAGCAATGGCCTCTCTGCCTGAACCCCTCCCGGTCATCCCATTTCTGTTCCTCTTGCAGAAAAAGGTCTGGACATCTATCTCATCATTGGCATTTGTGGAGGGGGCAGCCTCTTGATGGTCTTTGTGGCACTGCTCGTTTTCTACATCAGCAAAAGGAAAAAGCAGAGCAGGCGGAGAAATGGTAAGCTCCCCCTCTTTTGTCCCACCGCAGGCCCCAGCAAAATCCCCAGGAAACAGCTCAGGGGGATGACACCTTGAATCTGCAGAGAAAATAATGGAAATAGGTAGTTTCGGAATGTCAGGGTTGTAGCCAGCGGTTATAGCTTGTTTCATTTTGTGGTTAGCTTGATTTTTGAAAAACAGATTCTTAGTAGTGACTATGTGGGAGCTTTGAGACACTGAATCCAGTTGGCCTCATTGGAATCCACCACCGAGGCCTACTTGGTGACAAGCTAGTGTCAACATCTTTTGAATGAGCCACACTTCTCTACATAGATAGGTAGAAAGGTCAGCGGCAAAACACCGTTTCCAGGAATGAATGTCCTGTCTATGGGTGGCCCAAGGTGAGCTCAGAACGAAGCTCCTAGAAACACAGGAAAAATCATGCAGGTCATCTGGTACTTTCAGGAAAACAGCTATTCTAAAGCAAGGTGACATGTCCCCTTTGCTAATTCTCTGTTCGAAGGATGTGTTGGGGTTGAGAGTGTTTCTCCTCAGATCAGTCCTGTCTGACAACCTATCAGCAATGAAAAGGTTATGCTCACAAGTCGGGAGCTGGCTCAGGGAGCATCCAGGCCGCCAAAGGCAGAAAACTACAGATAATGGCAAACCCGGGGTCACTGTGGGGGCACAGGTGGGGGTGTCAGCCATTGGCAGGACTTGCAGCCAGGGGAGCAGGGCCTGGGGGTCTCTGCAAGTCTCGTTCACAGCAGAGCTTGGTCTCCCCTAGAACCAGCAGGCACAGCCACACCAGCTGCTCCCAGGACTGCCCAGGGAGCTGGTCGGAAACTCCCCAGCCCGCCGTGGCCTGGGGCCCTGTGCCCTCGGGATTTGGCTTCTTCACCTCAAACTCGTCCTCGGTTCTCCTTCTGCCCCTCCTTCAGGCTGTGGTCCCTCAGTTCCATATCCCATCACGCCACTGCCCCCAGCCCAGGCCCCAAAACATCTTCCTGGACGTAGCCCCATTCTTCCCACACCATTGTCTCACACTCTCCACCACAGTGCAGAGTTGCCTGCAGGGCCCCTGGGCATGCCCGGCTTGTCCTCCTCTGTGCCCAGCTCTGGCTGTTCTCCATGCTGCTCTCCAGCAAAGACCGCTTCTCCGTTGCCCAATGGTCAAAGACCACATCTTCTTCCAAGGCAGACCTCACATGTCACTCAGAACAAGGCCATCTCTGCCATCATCAGGCTGAGAGACCGGCAAGGTGGTTCGCCTATGCTGCTAAAGAAGACATTCGTCTCTGTGTTTTGTATCCATTAGTGCATCCAGCTTTGAGAGTGATCTTAGGAGAGAGAGAAAGGCACAGATGAGGAAACTCAAGTTCAGTGAACTTGAAACTCAAGTTCAATTATTTGCCTTCAATTCTATGGCCAGAAAGCTGAGTCAGGCCTAGGCTGAGGCCAGGAGCCCCCAGCGCAGAATTTCAGGAAGTTGACCTGCCATTGCACAACCCTGAAAGTGGGTGTCTGCTTAAACTGTGTGCCCGCCAGCCTCTCTTGCCTCAATCCAGTCCCATCTTGGGTTGAGTAACCAGGAGATGCAAATGAGGGAGAAGGATAATGAGCCTAGAGGAATTCCTGGGAGCGCACGTTTAGGCGCCAGCTGCAGCTGCTGGGGCGGGCAGGCTGAGGACCCACCGTCCTGCTCGAATCAGGCAGGGTACACAGAGCCATAGCCAGCCTTGTCTGTCCAACCCTGCCTGTGGTCTCAGCCACATGGCCACACCCCATTCCTCCTACCAGAACCCATATGCCTGTCTACACTTTCTGGTGGCCCTGAGCTCTTCACGGAACTGACATTGTGATTTTCCGTTCTTGTTCGCCTCTTACTTGATTTTAGGCTTCCTGAGGACAATTTGTGTCTGAGTCACAATGACACTCGACACTTAGAAGATGAGGAATGAATGTCAGAAGGACAAATGAACAAAATGGTGGGCGGGCCAGGTGTGGTGGCTCACACCCATGACCCCAGCACTTTAGGAGGCCGAGGCAAGAGGATCATTTGAGCTCAGGAGTTTGGGACCAGCCTGGGCAATATAGTGAGACCTCGTCTCTACTTAAAAAAAAAATAAAAAATAGGCAGGTGTGATGGTGCATGCCTGTAGTCCCAGCTACTCAGGAAGCTGAGGTGGGAGAATCATTTCAGCCCGGAGATTGAGAATGCAGTGAGAAATGATCACACCACTGCAGTCCAGTCTGGGCAACAGAGCAAGACCCTGTCTCAAAACAAAACAAACAGAAAACAAAAATGGTAAATGGTGGGTGAACAGAGTAGTGAGCCACTGGCCAGTGCAAGCTCGCCACCTGGATCAGGATGGGCCACCCTCCCCACAGCTCAGAACTGGGGTCGGGCTCAGAGTCCGCTCCAGTCTCCCGGACGTAACCTAAATGACTGCAGGGCACGGAAGATGACGGAAAGGATGTGTTTTGTCCTTTCTGAAGGTTCTTTCCTCTTTGTGCTTAGAGCACATGAGCCACTGAAGTATCAAAATCACTCTATATTCAAAGCCACCTGATGCTCACATTACCTGTAGTCAGAGGAGGCCATCTGGTTTGGATCAACATCCAGAAGTTAGAGGGTGATGTTTAGAGGGGGCCTGTGCTTCCCCAGCCATGCATCTCCATAAAGATGTGAGAGGTCATTATTTCACCCCAGGGGAAACTTCTCTTCCTACCTCCCTATGGAGCCGCTGCGAAGACGGCCTTGGGTGCAGGGACTGAAATACCTAACTTACAGCCTAAACCGGTTCAGAGGGTCCAGCAGGGCACTCCAGGCCTCTAGCAGCTGGGTATGCTCACAGATTCCCTGTGATTTTAAAAGTACAGGAAAAGCTACATTATGACTGGTTGTGGGCCTGCTTTCACGGACTGAAGTCATACAGAGCAGAAGATCCTGAAGGGTGAGGACAGGAGGAATCCTTTCCCTCCTGAGGCCAAGAGGACAGGTCATGAATTTCTGAGGAGCTAGTACATTTCTATGGACAAAAGGTCCCTTGCATGTATTCCAACTTCTTGCCGGAAGGTGGGTCCCGTGACAGTAGAATTGGGGGAAAGGCAGATCCAACACAGAAATGCCTCAGAAGGAATGTAGTTGCTAATATCCACCACGACTGCACGTGTCCTCTTCCCATGCGCTCTAACCACGGGGTTCTTGCTCTCAGGGGACAGTATCCAGGTCAGCACAGTGGCAGGGTTTCAGGTCTGAGTGCTCTCTCTGATCCCGGGAGCCCCAGGCACAAAGCCCTCCACCCATGTGTCTTCTTCCTGCTGGTTCCTTGAGTTCTCTAAAGTCCTGGGCTCTCACTCTACCGTGTGGTGAGCACCTCTTTCTTTCTTACAAGCTTCAGAGTTCTCAGAGAATAGGGGCAAATTCTGCTTCCTCATTGCATCTCCCAAAGCCGCTGGCATGGCACCTTGCACAGAAAGATACTCAATATTTCCACTGACTTCACCTGGCCAAGATGAACTCTATTGAGGTTTTGTTGTTGCAGATGAGGAGCTGGAGATAAGAGCCCACAGAGTCGCTACTGAAGAAAGGAGCCGGAAGCCCCACCAAATTCCAGCTTCAACCCCTCAAAATCCAGCAGCTTCCCAACATCCTCCTCCACCACCTGGCCATCGTTCCCAGGCACCTAGTCATCGTCCCCTGCCGCCTGGACACCGTGTTCAGCACCAGCCTCAGAAGAGGCCTCCTGCTTCGTCGGGCACACAAGTTCACCAGCAGAAGGGCCCACCTCTCCCCAGACCTCGAGTTCAGCCAAAACCTCCCCATGGGGCAGCAGAAAACTCAGTGTCCCCTTCCTCTAATTAAAAAAGATAGAAACTGTCTTTTCCACTAAGCACTGTGGATTTCTGCACTCCTGATGTGCACATCCGCGCTTCCAGCAGGTGTTTTCTACATGCAGAACATGGCCACCTCCCGAGGCCGTGGGCCACAGCCAGCTCTGCATCTTCGAACTCAGCCATGTGGCCAACTTCTAGAGTCTTTGGTCTCCTCGGAGAGCTCCATCATACCAGTAAGGAGAAGCAATAAAAGTGTCACTGTGAGAATGGTAGATGACCGAGCACAGAAATCTTAGAGATGTCTTGTCCCCTCTCAGGTCACGTGCAGATGCAATAAGTCAAGTGATTGCTGTGTGTGGGTCTCACTACAAGCAGTCTATCTGCTTGAGAGACTCTGGACTTTCTTATGTGCCCCGGTGGACACTTGCCCACTTTCCTGTGAGTAAAAGTGAAATAAAAGCTTTGATTAGACCCGCATCTGCTCATTGTGTGAGGCAGCCCGCTATCGAGGAGAGGAAGCTGCTGAATAAGAAGGAAACTCTCTGGTGTGACAGCAGGATCAAATTCAACGAACGTAATCCAGCTGAGACCTCCTTAGTCCTCATCAGAATGACCAGAACATTCTCCCTAGGTCTCAACTGCAAAGCCAGGTCCAAAAACCTATTTGTAGATTCCCAGAATGAATTGAGGCCTCCATACACAAACCCTAACAGGAGTCACCAGAAAACTTAACCTTTCGGGTCTTATTTCCTTGACTGTTCAGACATGGTCATAATGGTCTGTACTGTCATCCTTGAAAACAGGGGAATCTGTGGATACTGGAGATGTCATGAACTCATCAGATGACATACAAAAGGATAGGCTAAGGGACAACTCAGTTGAATCAAATCTTGATGTCTTAAATGACTGTAATTAAAAGGTCAGACCCCAACATCAGCAGTGATACTAGCTGTACTTTGGGGGAAGTGGGGAGAAAAAAAAAATAGTTTTCAGTTAGAGTTCTGAAACAATAGGTGGTGAGAAGGCACCTGCTTTGAAATGTTGGTGCCATGTCTGTGGTCCTGTCTGCCTGCCTTCTCCTTGCCTTCTTAGACTTGCTAAACCTTGTTCAGCTCTGGCAGGAAGCTCTGAGGTCTAAACCACAAAACTAAACATATTCAGGACTTCCTGTGACAGCTCACTGAGGATTGAACTACTTTTTCCTCTGAATTTGGGAGGCTATTATTGTTCCAGCACCCAGAGTTAACTGCTAAGGGCAATGATGAATGAAACCTCGTAACTTTCCAAAATTCAAAACACAAAATCCAGTTAGGTAACAATCACCACAAGATCTACCCAGTAGAGAGATGAGGGTTCTGGTCATGTGTATTGGCTCGCACCTGTAATCCTAACATTTTGGGAGGCCAAGGCAGATGGATCACCTGAGGTCAGGAGTTCAAGACCAGCCTAGCCAACATGGTGAAACCCCATCTCTACTGAAAAAAAAAAATAGCTGGGCATGGTGGCATGTGCCTATAATCCCAGCTACTCAGGAGGCTGAGTCAGGAGAATCACTTGAACCCAGAGGACAAAGGTTGCAGTGAGCTGAGATCCCGTCACTTCACTCTAGCCTGCACGAAAGAGTGAAACTCCGTCTCAAAAAAAAAAAAAAAAGAGATGAGGATCCTAGCCCTACCCCTTTCTCATTCTTCATAACACCCATGAGCAATTTCATTGGCTGGCTCGCCAGAGTAGTTCATATGCCATTCTCCTAAGAAAACCTTCCCTGGTCTATCCAGCCCTGGGAAGGGCTCTGCCTTTCTTCTCAAGTCCTGTGGTATTACATATGGCACAAAACACATAGAGCCCATTCAATCCTTCATCATTCATACCCTCAACAAACATTTATTGAACTTCTGCTACATGTCAGGCTCTGTGCTAGGCACTAGGAAAGCAGAGGTGTACAATTGCATCTCTGCTTTCAAGGAAGGAGCTCACTTCCTGGTAGGTGAAGAGCAGACCACCATGGAACAAATATAACACAGTGTGAAAATATAGGTCAGAGGCAAATGCATGAACCCGGAGGAAGGACCCTGAACCCAGGCTGAGTGGTGGGACTGGGGTGACAAAGAGGGTTACCTAGAGGAAGGATGTTTGGGTTAAGTTGTAATAGATTAATTGAATGGATGAAGACGAGGTACAGAATTACCCATGTAGAGGGAACAGCATGAGCAGGTCTCATTTGGCTTCCTGTTTACATAAACATATGGTTTCTTTTTCAGCTACTGTATTTAACTGATTCAAAGATGTCATTGATTTTAAGTGGCACCATTCTTTTCATACCACTAAGAAAGAAAACTTCTCAGTCGCATTATAACAAATACTAAGATACAGTCCGTTTTTAGTCACAATCCCATTCCTGAGATGTTAAAATGGGGAAAAAATGTGCATTTTAGAATTACTGAAATGCATAGTAAAGAAGCTTTTTGAGGCCGGGCGCAATGACTCACGCCTGTAATCCCAGCACTTTGGGAGGCCGAGGCGGGTGGATCACAAGGTCAACAGATCGAGACCATCCTGGTCAACATGGTGAAACCCCGTCTCTACTAAAAATACAAAAAATTAGCTGGGCATGGTGGCGTGTGCCTGTAATCCCAGCTACTCAGGAGGCTGAGGCAGGAGAATTGCCAGTGAGCCGAGATCGCGCCATCGCACTCCAGCCTGGGTAACAAGAGCGAAACTCCGTCTCAAAAAACAAGAAGCTTTTTGAGTACAATGACCATTTCTCAATGTCATCCCCAGCACCTTTACTGAAGCTATCATTAGCCAATTGATTCGACGGGTGAGCACAGTCCTGCTGAAAGGAAGGGAAGTGAACATACACGACATTCTTGTCCTCCTTACCCAGGGAGGGTAAGACGGATTCTCTGCCCTGCTGGAAACTCCACCATTAGGTGAGAAACATGAAGCTTGCTTAAGATTTGTGCTGCTGTCACCCGCCTGTTGGACACTGGGTGAAGTCTCACTGAACTTGTCCCAGAGCATGGACATTCTGAGAAGTGGTCAGGCCAGCTGCATAGGAATAGCTTGTAGAGCTTGTGGGGCAAAAAAAAAAAAAAAAAAAAAAGGCCGACAATTCTGTAAGTTAGGTTGGGGGTCAAATATATATATATTTTTAACAATCTCTCCAGCTGATTCCGATGGGCGTTCAAGTTGTAGGCAACCTTGGAGACTATAGATAACACAGTATTGTAAGAAAAATCAACAGCTTTAGCCCAGTTAACTATTCCTCCGCAAGGAAATCTCCAATACGAGAAGGACAGCCATGTTGGAAAACGTATCCACACAGTTTAAGGTACCGGAACATCCTAGAGGGTTGTATGAAGACAGAAAATTTAGAGGTTTCTGATCGCCTATCTGCCCACCCTACATAGTGGTCTCATCCTAGCAGCTGGAACAGCTTAGCTCCGAAGGGGTCTCAACTGTAAAGTGGCAATTTCATCTCAGTCCTCCTGCTCCTCATCCTCTGTTCATTTGCTACTGTTGAGCTTCTTACCCATGCTCAGTGGGCTGCAGTTACTCAGACTCAAGTTCACCAATAAATTTGCCACCTCAGGACCATTGTACATGCTGTTCCTACCACACATGCTGTTCCCACTGCCCACACTTTTCACCTGGCTCTTCACCTGTCCACATTCTTCTTTCAGAGCTCAGACAGAAAGTCATTTCCCAGGAGAGACTTTTCCTAACTCTTGAACTCCACTGTAATGTGAATCTTCTGTGTCTAGTTCTATGTCCATGAAGTTCGATGCGGTAGAAGACCTAACACCTCACAAGGTAAGAGTGAGCACTAAATGGAAATGATGTATGTAATGTAACTAATAGATCCTTGTGTACAGAATGCATCTGAAAACTGTGAGCTTTATTTCTTACATGATACTCAAGAGGGAATATCCTGGATAGCACATATCAATGAGCTAGTTATTGGAAAGAGACACAGCCCATTATAAATTGATAAGCAAGCACTCTGTAAGGTGACTTAGCCTGCTATGAGTAGCATTCATCTGAGTTAGTTTCCTAACTTTGGCTCAAATGGAAGAAATGGATGATAAAATCCTGTACCAGAAGCATTTAAAGCTAAAGAACAGATCAGTGAGACTAACTCGCAAAGTCTAGATTGAGTCACCAGCCTTCTGTCACCTCCCTGGCCTCATAGGCAGGGTTTTCCTGAAAACAACATCAGGACATTATTTCACAAAGCATCCTGCTGGTTTATTTATAGCAACACAGAACAAAAGGATGAGGGAACAAGGGAAAATATCTTTTTAATTGCCTACCAAACAACGACATTACAAAGAAAGAAACTACAGATCAACGTCTCTCACAGATACAGATACAAAATTTTTCAAAAAATATTAGCAAATCAAATTTGACAATGTATAAAAAGAACTATACATTACAACCAAGCGGGATTAATCTCATGCAAGTCTGGTTCAACATTTGTAAATCAAGTAGTATAATCTATCACATCCAAGGGCTAATGAAGAAAAATCACATGATCATATAAATAAGATACAAAAGACAAACTTGACAAAATCCAGACTCGTTTACTAAAAAAAAATTTGGTAACTAGGAAGAGAGGGAAACTTCCTCAACTTGATTAGAAAAATCTACAAAAAAGACCTGCACCCAACATTTTACTTAACAATGAGAAACTCCGAACTTTCCAATAAAATCAGGAATCAGGATGTCTCTTCTCACCACTGTTTTTCAAAATCATATTAGAAATCTTAGCTAATGCAATAAGAGAAGGAAAGGAAATACAAGGTATGCAGGTTGGCAGGAAATAAAACTATATTCCTAGTGACATGATCATCTGGGTAGAAAATCTAAAAGAATCCACACAAAAAATACTGGAACTAATAAGGGATTATATTAATAGCAAGACTGTATTAATTAATTCTTACAAGGTTAATGTTAAAAAGTTCATCAGTTTCCCATATACCAGCAATGAACAAGTAAGTGCAATTTGAAATTAAAGGCATAATACCATTTATGTTAGCACTCAAACAATGAAATACTTAGGTAGAGATTTACATGAAGAAAACTGCAAAACTCTAATGAACAAAATTAAAGAAGAACCAA